TAGAACTATGAATCCTACTAGGTTATACCTCTTTGCAGTTCCACACCAAGGATGGTGTAGGAGATGGCGAACTTCCCACCAACGTTCTCGGGTTTCTCCTCGACCACTTCGTCGAAATCGAGGACTCCATTCTCTGCCGCATACTTCTCACCCTAAATGAGAAGGTTTTTATGTTTCTTAGTTCGGTAGCTTCAAAGGAATCCCCGCGGATCAACGAGCGCTTTTTCTCCACTCGCTAGGGGTAATCCATTACTTACCGCGGCTTTCACTGCTTTCATGTAAGTGTCAATCATTTCCGGATAGTAGTTGTAGGTGGTGACGACGAGGGCGTGCGCTTCGTTAACTGCGCGTTTCTTCTTACTGGCAGCTTTGCCACCACCTCCCCCTGACGATGGCGCTGGTGGAGTGCAAGCCTGAATGGGTGGACTTTCATTGTCAAAGGTGGAACGCATTCATTGTGAAGACAAATTTCATTCTGGTTAAGGACAAAACTGCCTCCCCTCCCCCTCCGCACATAAGGTGCGCGATCAAGATGAGGAAGTTCCCCTGAAACCATCCCCCCTCCCTACACCTATCTACCGCTAGCTGTGGTACAGTTCTCCCACCAGAACATATCCGTGAAACACAGTTGGAGGGAGAATTATGAATTTGCGAGGGACAAGGGAACGAGTTTGAGGCTTGACAATCGTTGTTAGTTGGCGGCGCTAATTGTCCGGAATGGCCAGTCTGCTTTTTGCGCCATTGCTGTGGTAGCGTGCGATTTTCCACGGAGGACTGAGCTCCAAGATGGGTGAACTCTTTGCAGCTGTGCAAATTTGGAATGGGCCAACAGGGTAGAGCATCGTGATGTGTGAAATGCCGGTATCAATACGGAACCCCATTCCCCCTAAGAGTTCTTCAAGTGGTACGACCCTCTCATCCCTACCCCACCCACGATATTCCTAAATTTTTCAGATTTTACGAAAAGTGTTTCGGTCCCCCTCCCCCTCCAATTTAACTGTTGCGTCGAGCGGGAAATGGGGGCGGGGTTGTCGCTAATCAGAATACCAATGTCAACTACCAGAAATAGCAGTTGGAGAGTAGTTCCGCGGCGCCGGCAACCAGAGAAAGGAGTGGAGGCTCGGAAAGTCAAAAAGAACCCTTAAAACGCCTTCCCATCCTCGCATCCTAACACAACTCCATCGTGGGACCAGTTCTGCGTTACCCTCTGTGCAGAGAGGCTCTTCCCACCCTGGAGCTCCGTGCTCGTCCTAGCCTAGCTAACCTTCTACCCTGGGCTACTGAACATTGACGCAGAGCTGCAGACTGCCCCTCCCGAGACACATAGCGTAGTTGGACTTTCTTTCTGAACTCAGCGATGGCGAGAAGTATGACATCTGAGAGACATTATATCTGATTGTGAGTTGCCTGCCATCCCCCCCCCCTTCCCCCTTGACGGATATTAGGGGGCTGCTATATTGAGACTTAGGTTTTAGTTCCCTTCCCATAAGAACAGGATAGGATAAGAACTCCGTCGAGAAAAGGGAGTGGCGGAGACATAACAATGCTATAAAGCTGAAGTAAACAGTGAAAACTCCACCAGCTCTCTCAAGCTGCTGAAATACGACCCCCGTTGGGCCCCAGCTGTGATCAGCGGCCGGACCAAAAAGGATCACAGTTTCTTACCCACGACGAAACAACGACGATGCTGAGAAGGAGGATCAGACGAGCCATGGCGGTTTGATGCGAAGACGGAACCTGCCAATCGCCGGTCCCTTTTATTCCCTGTGATTACCGATATGGTCGTTACCGTGTCTCATTTCGTAATCATGAAGATATTGACAGATGGCGACCTTTTCTGAACCCTACGACCCTCATATCATTTGTGGGAATAACTGAACAAACAGTTTTAATGTCCCGCTTTGTTACCTGCAAAAGCATACCTGCCCCCACTAAGGAAGTCAAACCTTAAGTCGGATTTTGCCCCAACCCGACTTAGAATACCCTACTGCCTTCCAGTGTGTGGTATCGAAATCTTTTGGGGTGCAGAGACCACTGACTTCAAAATCTGCTAGTCATTCAGGTACAAATTACATTTTTGAGACAAACCATCCTCGCTATTCTGGAGGTTCACCAACCCTTGATCCCTTTATTCTTTATTCCTTTATTGTATTGG